ATGGGAAAGAGAGTGGGGAAGAGAGACAGAAAAAGAAAGAAAAAAGATAGTGAAGAAGGTAAGGAGTTAGACAATTTCATACTGGGGTCCCCACTGGGTGTTATTGGTGGAGGCAAAGTGGAGATGAGAAAGAAGGAGCCGTGGAATCAGACTCACCTGAGCCTCTGTTTCCACTTCTGTGAAATGGGGATAATAATAGTCATGAAGACGACCCATCAGAGCAAGATGATACTAGCTGCTGACCCTTTGCGGCACTCAGGATGTGCCCCGTTCCGAGCACTTTATGGATGTTCCCTTGTTTGATGACAAGAGCTATGAGGCAGGCTGGCAACCCTTTCTATTTGGGAGCTGTGTAGTCTGAAGCACAGAGAGTTTGAGTCCCCTGCCCATGGTCACACAGCCGGTGGAGGTGGCGCTGATTCACTCAGGCCTGCGCTGTCTGTCCTGGGCTCCACCCACGCTGCTTCTCCGCAGTGCACTTGGCACATCTTTAAATACATAAAAGGCGCCCACGTGTAAAATTGGGGCTTACACCTTGGGAGCGCCGGAAATTATAAGTGAATGAGTCTTTCATGTTCTGCCATGAGACCTGGGTCAGCCAGGCCACAGGAGCGCCCCCCACCCCCCAGCTTTCCCTGTCTTCCCCAGGTTACATGGGAAGCTGGGAGCGATGAGGGTGATTTCAGGCTGGGAGGTTATAAAGAGGCCTCTCTTCTGCTGTCCTAAATGCTCCAGCGGACCAGCCTGGGGGGCACTTCTCTTCATATCCTGTTACCTTGAAGAATAATTCCCTTTATTCTTGTTGTCCTGACTTGCCCATCTCTCTCTGGGTTTTAATCTTTTTTGTGGAGAATGGTATCATTTAATATTCATTCAGTAATTAGGTGATCAACACAGCTGGGGCATTTCCTCTAAGCAGGCTGGCTGGAAGGCGGGTTTGGGGGCCTACTTTCCCATGGCTCTCTGTCCCTGGGGTTCCCAGGGCTGTGCACTGCCTGACTGGGAGGCGGCAGCCCTGGCCGTCATGCCTGGCTGTGGGCAGAAGGCCCCCAGACAAGGGCAGGAGAGGGTGCAGACGTGAGGTGTGGCAGGCGCCGTCAACACTGGACAGACAGCGGACTCGACCCTTGTGTGTGAAGATTTCCCAACCAGGAAATGGCTCTGAAGATCACACATGATCACACTGCCCTGTGAGTGATCCGTTTTGGAAATGAAGCTGATCAAACACTTGGAGCAGACAACTGTGACCGCAAGTCACCCTGAGAATGTCGCACGGGGCTGGAGAGGGACGTGCCTCCCAGGCTGGGCCGCACCAGACATTGTCCAGGGATTTCCAACCTACAGGCTGGCGAAGGTGTTAAAACTGATGTAAAAACATTCACACGCCTCTATTCCTAACAGGCAGACAAGGCACGAAGGCGCCCCGTTCCCAGGCGTCTCCCCAAGGCCCTCTCCGCGAACAGCACTGCTCCCTGAGCTCCACTTCTCTTTCAAAAACAAAGTGAGCTGCCAAACCAAGCGGCAGCCGCAAACCCCACACTTTCTTCTTCTGAGTGGAAAATCATAAAGTCACCGAGGAGCAAATGGAAGTTCAGAAAAGTATCTGGGAGAAAGTAACCACCTTCAGCTGTTCTGCCCCTCCTAGCCTTTTGGCTGACTGCCTGCGCGGTATTTTTTCTAATATGCTCTCATGATCACATTAGATTTTGAAAAAAGTGATTGTAACTAAAATCATTTTCACAGAAACAGTTTCAATGGACCTGGTTCGTCATATGAGATCATATCATCGTGGATGGAGCCAATTTGCTACTGTTCGATATTCAGACTGTTTCCATTTTTTTGCACGATCAATTGTGCTGCAGTGAACATCGTAAATAAATAAATCTTGGTGGATATCTCGGATGTGTGACTGTGGATAGTGATTCTCCAACATCCTGCCAAAGTGTACCCCCAAGAGAAGCTTTGAGGTTTTCACCTTTTTCTTAGAATTTTAGGAGAATGTTGCTTTCTTTTTGAAAGTGATCTGATATGTTTAATGATAAAATAGTGTCTTCAATTACTAATTCGTTAAATGAGTCATTGATTTAGCCGTACCCCCAAAGGCTTTCGGTACAATGGATGTCCAGGGAGATGAGCCAAGGGGACCCTGAGGCCTCAGGTCTCACCTGCTTCTTCTCACCTGATGCCTCAGGGGTGACCAGGGTGGGAAATGGGTCTTCGCAGAGGGTTGCAGAAATGGAATTGCTGGGTTAACGGTGGGAACTTTTTAGAGATTCTTGGCACATATGGCTCTTCTATATAACAAAATTAATTCCACAAATATGAAAGTTATTACTTATGAGTAAAAGTTTTCATCTTCTATACTCTTGCATTATAAAAACAGTTAAAAATGGATAGGTGCTGATCTATTTTTAGAGTTAAGACATTTCTAGATGTAGAAGCAAATAGAGCAGCATAATAAAAAAAGAATTTGACTACATGTCTGAAGATGACACTGCAATGAGAAGGTAAATAATAAACCTGAAATTTCCATTTGCTTTATATGCTGTACATTTATATCACATGTGTAGAGAAATGTACGTGTAAGCATCAGTGTCTTAATAAAGAACATTTTTTTTTTTTTTTTTTTTTTGAGACAGAGTTTCGCTCTTGTTACCCAGGCTGGAGTGCAATGGCGTGATCTCGGCTCACTGCAACCTCTGCCTCCTGGGTTCAGGCAATTCTCCTGCCTCAGCCTCCCGAGTAGCTGGGATTACAGGCACGCGCCACCATGCCCAGCTAATTTTTTTTGTATTTAGTAGAGATGGGGTTTCACCATGTTGACCAGGATGGTCTCGATCTCTTGACCTCGTGATCCACCGCCTCGGCCTCCCAAAGTGCTGGGATTACAGGCATGAACCACCGCGCTTTCAACAGAAATGAGCAAACTGCAATACCTGGTGGAAAAATGGGCAATGAACATAATTACAGATAATTATAAGAACAAACAGAAATGATTAATATATACATGTGAAACGAGTCAACCTAACAGTCAAAGAAGTATTATTTAATAAAAAATGCCACTCTTCCCTAATATAATTGGTAAGTTTAAAGACGATCATGAGGGCCAGAGAGGGCACAGGGAAGCATCACTCTCCCTTGTTGCTGTCTGAGCGAATGGATTCCTTCCTGTGTCCTACCCGAGCCAGGGACTTCCTAGCCACACACCTCAGCTTCCATTCTACCCTGACTGCACACCCTCATGGCCAGGTAGACAAACTTTTCCTTTATTTAGACCCCAACACTGTGTCTATGAATCTCTTGTAGTAGGTGGTACAAATGATCTTACTCGATAATATCAATACTCAAAATAAATATGGTTTTCTAATAATTTATTTACATTTTATTTTTTAGATGGAGTCTCACTCTGTTGCTCAGACTGGAGTGCAGTGGTACAGTCTCGGCTCACTGCAACCTCCACCTCCTGGGTTCAAGCGATTCCCCTGCCTCAACCTCCCAAGTAGTTGGGACTACAGGCATGTGCCACCACGCCTGGCTAATTTTTTCTATTTTTAGTAGAAGCAGGGTTTCACCATGTTAGCCAGGATGGTCTTGATCTCCTGATCTCATGATCCACCCACCTCAGCTTCCCAAAGTGCTGGGATTTGATGTGAGCCACCATGCCTGGCTAATTTTTGCATTTTTGGTAGAGACAGTATTTCACCATGTTGGCCAGGCTGGTCTCAAACTCCTGATCTCAGGTAATCCACCTGCCTTGGCCTCCCACCTAGGTGGGAGGGATTACAGGTATGAGCCACCGCCCCTGGCCTGGTTTTCTCATAGTTTAGACATAAATGGTGCTATGTCATTGGATCTACTCAGCACTCCGTCCCAGGCACTGTCCTGTGCACTGAGGTACTGTAGTGGATGAAACCAGACCTGGTCCCTGCTCTCACGGAGCTGACCTGGTGTGCAGGAGACACACGCTAAACAATCACATATGTTAGTGAACAAATGTATGAGTTCAGGAGGGGTGGTGCCAAGAGAAAAGGAAGAAGGCCAGACTGGAGAGTTGGGCTGAAATGCCAGGGGTGGGAGGCATTTTAGCCCAGCATGTGAGAGAAGGTGGCTTCTGAGATGAGCCCTGATGGAGTGAGGGAGCCGTGCGAAGACCGGGGGAAGATGTTTCCAGCAAAGGTAATGGCTTGTGCCAAGGCCCCGAGTCAGCGTGTATTCGGGCAGTTCAAGGTTCAGCAAGGAAGCCAGCATGGCTGAAGAGGAGGGACAGGACAGTGGAGGTAGGAGGTGCCATCAGGGAAGAGGCCAGGCGTGAGAGCACACTGGGAGAACCCCATAGGACATGGCGAGGTGTCAGGGTGAGATGGAGGAGCCTCTGGTCTGCTGAGTTTAGGCTAAGTGATGTCATGTTCTGACTTACATTTTTTTTTTTTTAAATTGGTGCTCATGCCTGTAATCCAAGCACTTTGGGAGGCTGAGGTGGGAGGGTTGTTTGAGGACAGGAGTTGGAGAGCAGCCTGGACAACATAGAGAGACACTGTCCCTACAAAGAATAAAAAATTAGCCAGGCATGATGGCATACACCTGTAGTCTCAGCTACTCAGGGGTCTGAGGTAGGAGAATCGCTTGAGCCCAGGAAGTCAAGGCTGCCGTGAGCTGTGATCACACCAGTGCATTCCAGCCTGGGCAGCAAAGCAAGACCCTGTCTCAAAAAAGTAATAAATAAAAATTGCTATAAAAGGCACATAAGATAAAAGTCACCATTTTAGTGATTTTAAAGTGTTTGGTTCAGTAGATTCACAATGTTGTACAGCCATCACCGCTTTCGAATTCCAGAATACCTTCATCACCCCAAAGAGACTCTCAGTCCAGGCACAGTCACTCCTCGTCCCCCCTCCCGCTAGCCCCTGGCAATAGCTTTCTGTGTCTGTGGATTTGTCTATTCTGGGTATTTCATATCTATGGAATCCTGCAAGTCTGTAGTGATGGTTTCTTTTTCTCAGCAGAATGTTGTCAGAGTTCATCCACGTCGAAGCGCTGGAGCACGAGCCGGCCCTTTATCCCTTGCCATGGCCAAGGAATAATCCATCATGTGGAGAGATAACATTTTATTTCTCCATGCATCAGGTGATGGACATTTGAGTGGTTCCTACCTGACTCACTTTGTGAAAGAATCTCTCTGAGTCCTGCGTGGAGGCCCAAAAGAGCAGAGCTGGGAGACCAGGGAGCTGCAGGAACCCCAGGGATGAAGGTGAGAGCGGGAGGCGGTTGTCTGCAGGTGAGTGATGGCAGAGACCAGAGGTGCAGCCAGTGCGGGGTGGGCCTGGGGCCCAACAGAGCATGTTTTCTATCAGTCCTTCCTCCATGATCATGTGCTCTTTAGGAGCCAAGTGACGGTGACCTGTGGATGAGCAGCCTGGGTTGTCCCTGTCCCCAGCCTCTTCAACCTGATGCAAGTTTGCGTTCTGTGCTCTCTTTCTTTGGAAGAAGGACTGACTCCTAAGTGGCATCTGGAGAAGGCAGAGGTTCCTGCAGGGACCTGGAGAGGGTATTAACGGTGACTTTCCTCTGTGGGGTGTGGGGCCAAAGTAGGTCAGGATAATGGGCTCCAGCCGGGAACCAATCCAGAAGTGACCACAGGCTGCTGCTGACGGAGCCCTCAAGGCCGGCTCTTCCCTGGGCCACAGCTGGGATTGCTTTCTGCATCCTGCTGCGAAAACACTGCATAGAACAACAATTCCTGAAATTAAGGGCCGTCCGCTGGGTTATTTTAAACCAAAGAGCTGAAGCCTCCTCCAGTAGACAGAGGGAAATTGATTAGAATCTGAGCTTCGAAAGCACTTTATGTCAATGTCCCTCCTGAAATAAGGAGGGTAAAAACCTGCATGATTTTACTAAGAAGGAAAACCCTATGTGTTTCGCAGGTAAAATGCCTGTCACTGGCAATTACTGTCCTCAAGGATCCTTTCTTTTATTATATTTATCTCCTTAAAATTTTTTTTAAAGATTTTTTTTCTTATTTCAAATGGTGCACGATCTTACACGAGATTAAAAAATTACAAAATTAACTAGCAAAAAGTTAAATCCTTCCTAATGTAGACAGCAAGGGGCTACGGCTTCCTTCCTGTGTGTACCAGCATTCTTACTGGTATGTTATGTTTTTATTAGCTGCTTTGGAATCTGAGGCTGGTTGGTTTTACCTGCATTTCTGTCTGACTTTCAGCTCTGAGCTCACCCTAATTATAGCTCGCTATCTAGAAAAAGTGCAGAGACTGCTACAGAAGCTGCAGGCTTCTAGGTGATAATACAACCTGGTAACATTGTGAGCTGGTCTGGAACCACTCACACAGACCCCTCCAATCACTGAGAGCCCAGGGCTGATGGAGCAAATAGAAGATACCGCAACGCCAGGAGGGCCCTTAAAAGAAGTCTTAGACAAGGAGTCTACATCTGCAAACTCCATTTTTCTGGAATCTTAGCTGAATGTCGACTCATTAATGCTTCCACGTTGCATTCTAACACCCAGAGCTGCCCCAGTTCTAATCTGTGACTCACAGTTACCTTGGTCATCCTGCGTATGGGTGGTCTTGCCCATGGACACGTCCATTCTCTCTTCCAGGTTGGCAGGTTTTCTCCAGGTTGGTTCACTTTTTTTGCACTTATTTCTGCATTTGCCTCAAGAAGTTTTTTAGAAACCGAAATTGAGTCATCAAATTGCTCACAGTGGCCAAACCTTGCCCTAAAGTCAAAGCTGTGAAGCACTGCACTAAAGCATTCTTGGAAAATCCATGGATCTCCAAGGAAAGGAATGGATGAAGTTGTGAGCAACAGGGGTGGTGCCTCTCCAGGGGAGGAGGCAACCATTTCCTTTGTCTTTCCTCCATTCTTCCTGGATGCAATTTTCCACCCAGGTTTTCTTTGTGGCATCAACTCTCTGCCCAAGGACAGGGCTGCAGCTCTCCCTGACCCAGTGCAGGCGGCTCACCTTTCCTCTGCCAACAGGGCGTGGCAGCAAAGGCTGCTCAGACAACCAGGGAGGGTATCTTTGCATGGTTCTGAGACGGAGACCGTATTTCTCAGAGCAAATCCCCTTGTTCCGTCTCTTTCAGAAGCCGTGATGACCTACACGTTGTTGGATCCAGCCATTTGGCAGGTGCCTCTGTTTTGACTGTAGGGATGGAAATCCTTCCAAGCATGCCGAGAGGGAAGGTAACATGGCAGATGCACTGGCTTTGACATTGCCGTGGTGGTTGCAATCCTGCATCTGTCTCTTCCTGATGGGGTGACCTGAGGCAAGTTGCTTGGCCTCCCTGAATCTGTTTTGTAGTGTGCAAGATGAGGACAATATTGCCTTGGGGGTGACTTCAAGGACTGAGAAAGGTATTTTTTTTTCTTGTTTGAGACAAAGATCTTGCTCTGTCACTGCAGCCTCAACCTCCTGGGCTCAAGCAGTCCTCTCACTTCAGCCTCCTGAGAAGCTGAAACCACAGGCATGAACACCATGCCTGGCTAATTTTTCAATTTTTTTTGTAGAGACAGAGTCTCACGGTATTACCCAGGCTAGAGGGAGATAAACTCTAAGCTTAGTACAGTACCTGGCTTATATGAAGAAATCGGAAATCAGTGATATTTACTTTATATGTTCATAGTTCCTAACACGGGTATTTAGTTGGTCTCCCTTTTGCCACATCTTCTAACTGTCCAGATCTCCTACTTGTCTCCCTCTCCCTCCATGAACCCTCCTTAGGCTCCCCCTCAATGATTTCCATCTCCTCTGTTGTCAGTTTGCCCCATTCCATAGCACTCCAATGAGCTCTCCATATTCCTCCAGCAGGACTCTGTGAGCGTTTCTTGTGCATTAACATTGTCTCATTAAGAGTGGGGAGGTGGCCTCAGAAGTGGTTCAGTGGTAGTTTAAGATGCTGGGTAAGAGCACAGATTCTGCAACAACACTGCTGGGTTCAAATCCTGACTGGGCTGCTTAACACCAATACAATTTAGTTTCCTTATCTGTGAAATGGGTTCAATAGCAGTTTCTCTCTCATAGAGCTGTGAAAAAGGATTAAGTGAGATCCATTTAGGCCCATGCCCGAACTTATGTGTGCCGTGTGTTAGCTATTATTACTTCCACCTGTGTAATTTTGGTAAGTTAGCTTATCTTTGTGAACCTCAGTTTTCTCATCAGCAAACCAATAGTCATAAAATGTAATCCTCTGGGCTGTGGAATTAGACGAAGTGCTCAACAGGTGGGCATAGTGCTGGGTGCATGGTAAATAGTCAGTCCTGGGGGTGGTTGTTTTTGTCAGCTCCTGGGGACAGGAGCCCTGCCTTGGTCAAGTTGGGAATATATTTTCCAGAGTCTCCTTTTTGGGGAGTCCTGATAGGACTTGGTCCATTTAACAAACAAAATAACGAAACTAGTTAAAGTCGAACTGCAGATCAATCATAGCTAATACTTTCTCAGTATAAACATATCCCACATATTACATGGGACATACTTATGCCTAAAAAATTATCCACTGTGGATCCACAATTCAAATGTAGTGGGACATCTGTATTTTATATGACAAATCCGCAAGAGGAGCTAGTGTGAGTCTCAGAAGATCAATGGATGGAGGGAGAGGTCCTCTGAGTCCCAGCATGTCTTCTTTCTCCTCTGCTCTCCTGCGGTGGCTCCCTTGGGGTCCTGGCTCCAAAGGTGGACATGCTGGGCTTGTTGAATCCCGGCCTGTTCTGTGCAAATCTCCTCAACAATTGTCCAGAGTCTGCCCCCTCTCAGCAACCCCACAGCTATTGCCCTGGTCCTACGTCACTCTGGGTGCCATCCGCCATCTGTGTTCTCTACACAGCACCCAGAGAGATCCCTTTAAAGGTGACAGTGCTGGTCAGGCGTGATGGCTCATCCATGTAATCCCAGCAGTCTGGGAGACTGAGGCAGGCAGATCAGCTGAAGTCAGAAGTTTGAGACCAGCCTGGCCAACATGGTGAAACCCCATCTCTACTAAAAATGCAAAAGTTAACTGGGCATGGTGGCGTGTAGCTGTGGTCCCAGCTACTTGGGAAGCAGGGGAATCGCTTGAACCCAGGGGTCAGAGATTGCAGTGAGCTGAGATCGCGCCACTGCACTCCAGCCTGGGTGACAGACTCTGTCTCAAAAGAAAAAAAAAAAAACTAAGTGCAGAAGTTAATGCCTTTCCAAATCCTATAGCTGCTGAGTGTAAGCAGAAGCTCACCTTTTCCCCTTTCTTCTCAAACGGGGCTTGAGAAGATGGGCCGTGGCTGGCCTCGGCCTCACATGGGCTTCTGTGGGCCAAGGCCTTGGCGTTCCTCCAGCCCGGGCTAGAACTGCCTCCTACGGAGGAATGACATCCAGGCCTTCACCCTCCAGGTCAGCTGTGGCGCCAGCCGAGGTGACCGCGTGGGCAGCAGCTCACATTCCTTCTCTGCTTTTGGCCCCATGTCCCCGGCACTCAGGTCTGGAGTTCAGTCCAAGTGTTGAGACACAGGTGTGCAGCTCAGTGTGGCCTTAATTAACCCTCCCGTGGCCTGGGCTCCGCCTGCGCCTCATTAACTCTGGGCTCCTGGTTGTGTTCCTGACGCTGCAGCCTGACACTGCAGGCGGGCGAGCAGTTTGCGATGGAAGGCCACCTTCTGATCAGAGGAAGCCTTGACCTGAGGAGGCGCCTGCCTTTTCGCTGGGCTTGCCTTTCTCTGGACAGCTTTTGCTCAGCATTTCAGGGCGGCTGATTCCCCTGGGACTGAATCCATGCCCGTCATGATGGTGCCCTGGCAGCTTCACAGTTTTTCCATGTTTGCAAGCCGTTCTTTGGTGGGAAAAAAAGATGATTTTTCCTCTCCCTACTCCCATTCCCTTTTCTTAGTTTCCCTGAACTACATTTTGAGCTAAGCGAAGGTCTTGGGTTGGCCTTTAGAGGGAGTAAATCCTCTGAGAGCATCAGGTACCCGAGAGGCAGAAATGAGGGTGTCAGGCCCCGGGGAGCATGTGCCACTGGCTTGCCTCCCGCTGGGAAGTATTTCTGTACCTTTGGCCCATGAACTATGTTTGCTTCTCAGCTAGCTCTAAATGAGTATTTAGGGCTTTATCTATCTCCCATACGCATGATTGTCTGGGATGTAGGACGGCAGCCCTGGGTGGGGTCCTGGCTCACCTGCTCTCCAGCTGGGTGACTGGACCTCACTGCCACCCAACACTCACCCAGCCCCTTTCCCGGGGCCCCGGGAGTGGGGACATGGGTAGGAGAGTGAGCATGCAGATGTCCGGGAAGCAGTTTCGGAAGGCACACGGTTTGTCCTTGCCATCTCTTTGATTTGACTTACTTTTGGCGTGAATTTCCAAGACGTCTCATCAACCACTTCTGACAAATGAGGAAGTGGAGGCTGACTCATGGTTCCCCAGCACTGGGAGCAAGAACAGGGTGGACATCCAAGTCTCCCGGATTCCCAGCTCCGTGCTTCGTGCCCGTTACATATTTGGGACAAAAAGCCACCTGCCTGTGGGATTAACAACAGTCGAGGTTATGATTGACACCGTCCCTTAGTGAGTGCCCAGGTCTGGCCAGGCTGTCTCACCTTGAATCCTTTCAGCCCATTCCGTGGACCGGTCAGGTGAAGTGTGGCTCACGGGCCGCTGGCTGCTTTCCAGGGTGCAGTTGCCGAGAGCGGGTATGGGGCTTTCCCGAGCCACAGCCTCCATGGCGTGTGCTGGAGGAACCCCCGCATGGAACCCAAGGGCGCCAGAGGCAGAGTTGGAGCTGCGGTATTGGTGATCCTGGGGAGGGGTGTCGGGGCTGGGTGCCTGCTGGGAGAGAGGAAAGAACTGGAGCCACCAGGAAGACCAGCCAACTGTGGGAGTCAGAGGCTGTACGCGTGAGAGGGCTTGAGGACCTCTCATAGTGCTCTCTGAAGCAGGGGAAGAGAGGGCCAGCCAGGAGGCCCTCATGGTCCTCTCCACCATCCTGCAATCTTTGCTTTTCTCCAAATGGGCGGGCTCCCCACAGCTGGCCAGCCCGCTGTGGTGTAGACTGTTTCTCTTGTTTGAGCTCCGCATGAGAGACACTCAACAGATGCCGAGAGGCAAGTCGGAAGGTATGAGGGAGTCCCGGGTTTTTTTTTTTTTGGAGGCATCTTAAAGGGTAGATGGCTTTCTTTCTGCTCTGTGCCTGTCCCCAGCTCAGCCCCCCACCATGGGTCCCAGGCCCGTCCCCTTTCCTCCTTCTTTCCTCCCTACAGCTTGTGATTAGGGCTCCCTCCCCAAGCACCTGGCCCTCTCTCCCCTTTGCACCCAGGCCCAGCTCCAACAGCCCTTCTCTCCTGGAGGGGTCTGTCAACGGGGTGGCCCGCCACATCACTCCCCACGTCCACCAGCCCCGCCTGGCCCACGCAGCCTTCCTCAGTCCCAATCACCCTCGAAGGTCTTGGAAGAACTGGCGTTTCTCCTGGAAGCTGGAGTTCACGCACGGCTTAATGAAGATGAGACGTGTGCAAGGTTCCTCGCAAAATGGGTCACAGCTCTGCAGGAAGAGAAACGAGGAGCAGGCGGTCACTGCGATTCTCAGATCCACAGGGACAAATTGGACTTGTCTGGATTTCCCTGCAGAGCCAAGAGCCAGAAACAAGTCGGGGCCACTGCTGTTGCCCAACACACGGTTGTCCCCAGCTCCACCCCAGAACAGCCCAAATTCCCCAGATTGCTGTGGAGAGAGTCAGCCTGTGCGAAGAGGGATTGAGCAATGCCGGGCCTCCCAGAGTCCCTGACCCGGCTGGCACCCAGCAACGGCCAAGCGGCCTGAGCATCTGGGGTCAGATCGAAAGGTAGTTAAGGGAAGATGGCTGTTTCCTTTTGGGGTGCAGTGGGACAATGTTCGTGGTGGGCAAAGTTCCCTTCACATTGCCCATCCTGTGGTGGCGGGTTGGGGGGCGGTGGTGGTTTCAGCTTGGGCTCATGGTGTCTGGTTGCCGTTTTGTTTAGGGTGTGGAAGTTAAAGGCTGGAGGGTGGGGTTTGCAGGATGGTGCGAACCTTTCACCTCTGAGTTGAAGGGAAGGGGGAAGCAGCTGCCCTCGCAGCAGTAAACAGAGTCCAGCCTCGAGCTGACACCTCCAGCTGGCCGGGGAGGATGTCACCAGGCAGTTTCTAAGTCTTTGATGTTGGGGCTGCTTTTTCTTCTCTCCCTAATCACCAGACAGCTGGGTGGGCTGAGAGGGAGGCGTCTGGCACACACGTCCGTTTCCAGGAAAGGAGTGGCCTCAAGGTCACTCCATGGACTCTGAACGGGGTCCACGGGGGCTCCTGAGCCTTTCTGGATGGAGACCTGGGATTTGGCCCCACACTGTATCCCCAGACTTTGCTGGATATCCCCAACTGCTCTGAGCAAATTCCAAGGAGCTGTCCCCAGGAGTCCCACCCCGACGACGAGCTTGTCAATTCACCACAAACCCCATTACAAGTGGCCCAGGAGAAGAGGCTGCCGAGCAAACGTCCTGCACGCATTTAAAGGGTTAATAAGGGAGGGCCAAGGAGGCTGATTTAAAACAGAATAGGAAAGTCTTTTAAGGTATCTTTTTTTAAAGAAATTAAAATACCTTTAAAAAATCTTTAAAAGATGTATCTTTTTCTTATTATAAAAGATTAAATGTTTGTTGTAGAAAATCTAGAAGTGTCAGAAAAGTATAGAAAACATGAAAGATCATGTTGAATCACACAAGAAACTGCTAACCTTGCTAACATTGTGATCTCGTCTTGATACACACAGACACGCACACCAGCACGTGTTTTCGCAGTCGACGACGCCATCCTACAGATATAGCACATGCCTTTCTTAATTCCCTTAAAACCCCATGGCAAGCATTCCATGTCTTTGAAAGCATGAATTTTCACAGCTACCTCTCATTCTTTGGGAGGGCTAAGCAATTTATTTAACAAACTCCTTATAGATGATGTAGAACTTTTAATTCAAACCAATTAAAACGTAGAAGTTTGTCTTACATAACAGAATAAGCAACCTGCCACCCTGCACCTCGGTTTTCCCCGTCTTGAAAATGGGAGAATTCTGCCTTAGCTCAGGTGGCTGGTGTGCTCTTTAATTAAGGTTTAGGAAAGGCCTTCAATTCGTGGATGAAGGATTGCTACCTCAGTCAAAGGTTTGGCGTAGTCATCCTTAATTATTGTAATGTGCTCATTACGGGCAATTAGCACATTGCAGGACAACAGAGAGGAATTTATTTGGCAGTTGATCTCTGTGTGGTTGTCCTTCGTGAGCCAGGGTGCTGGAGGTTCAGGAGGCCTGTGGTTGGCTCCCGACTGGAGAGACAAAAATCAGCCAGCAGCAGCCAGGCCTCAGTGGGCTGAGGTACTTGCTGATTCCGGGCTGATCCTGAGGACAAGAAGAAGAATCTCCACCCGGCAGGGCAGGGAGACTGGGTCTTGCATGGGTGCCAAGTGCCAGCTCTCCATTTTCCTTTGCCTCCCTGATTTTAATCTGGAATACACCTGCAACTCACCAGGATTGCTATCTTACTATTGGCTCATTGAGCGTTTGTCATAATGGCCCATGAGCTGTGGTGTTTGCCTTTGGACTCTTCAGAACTGTTCAGATGTGACTTTTCATTGTTTTCCTTTGAGACAGGGCCTCACTGTGTGTCACCCAGGCTGCAGTGCAGTGGTGTGATGACGCCTCACTGCAGCCTCGACCTCCCAGGCTCAAGCAATCCTCTCCTTCAGCCTCCTGAGTAGCTAAGACTGCAGTTGCATGCCACCATTGTTGGCTAATTTTTGTATTTTTTGTAGAGACAGGGTCTTGCCATGTTGCCCAGGCTGGTCTTAAACTCTTGAGCTCAATTGATCCACTGGCCTGGGCCTCCCAAAGTGCTGGGATTATGGGTGTGAGCCACCCCACCCAGCCATGATTAATTTGGGCTCTCAACACCCTAAAATGGGAGAATGAGGTAGCGTAGAGTGTGTATGACTGGTGGGTTGTATTTGCATTTGTTGCCATTTGAAGAAATGTAGTTAAAAGTCCATCTGCAGAGAGATTATGACCATAGCTTCTGTCTGACCAAGCTCTGTTTTCCTGATCGGTGACTACAGTTACATAAAAGGTAAAGGGATAGATTGTTTGCAGCGGGCACTGCCCTGGGATGTGTTGCCCACGTGGTCGCCCTGCATGTGAGAACAATGCCTATGGGTACAGTCCTTGAGAGAAATTCTCAACACGCTAACACGCTTTCTGGAATGTTCAGTGTCTTGCAAATAGCCTAACAGCAATTTCAGAAGCACCCAGAGGTGCTTAGCAGCCGGAGTGATGATTTGACAGGCTTTATTCTTAACACTCTTTTTAACTTTTTAGAATTATTTATTCATTTTTATTTTCTTATTTTTATTTTTGAGACGGAGTCTCACTCTGTCACCCAGGCTGGAGTGCAGTGGTGCGGTCTCTGCTCACTGCAACCTCTGCCTCCCAGGTTCAAGCGATTCTCCCATCTCAGCCTCCCGAGTAGCTGAGACTACAGGCATGTGCCACCACACCTGGCTTATTTTTTTGGTCTTTTTAGTAGAGTCGAGGTTTCAGTATCTTGGCCAGACTGGTCTCAAACTCCTGGCCTTGTGATCCACCTGTCTCCGCCTTCCAAAGTGCTGGGATTACAGGCATGAGCCACTGTGCCTGGCCCACTCTTTTTTGTTTAATTTAATTAATTTATTTATTTGAGACCAAGTCTCACTCTGTTGCTTCAGCTGGAGTGCAGTGGTGCAATCTCGGCTCACTGTAACCTCTACCTCCCAGATTCAAGTGATTCTCCTGCCGCACCTACCACCACGCCCAGCTAATTTTTTTGTATTTTTAGTTGAGATGGGGTTTTGCCGTGTTGCCCAGGCTGATCTTGAACTCCTGGGCTCAAGCAAGCCACCTGCCTTGGACTCCCAAAGCGCTCATTACAGGCATAAGCCACTGGCCCTTAACACTCTTGATTGTGGAGGTACAGGGTAGTGGGGAAAAACTGTTTAGTGCATTCTTGAGTCAACTCCTAGTTCTCAGCTAGTCTGGGGAAAGATTTACATCCAGGAAGCTGAGGGTTCAGATTGTTGACTGGTCCAGATGTAGGCTGCAGAAGATAGCCAAGGAGGCATCCCCCATAGACAGTTTCCATGGCATGCAGGAATGGCTCATTCCAAGGTTAGAATGACCCGCTGGATTATTGTCAGACTTTGGAAAAAAATAAAATGGAATGGTTTCAAACCCTTCAGGAAAAAAGGGAGGGGAGGATGGAGGGCATCCCACATCCTCCTTCTCTATCAAGATAAAATACTTGAACTTTTGACCCCATTGCACAGTTTTAGCTGGTCTGAGTGCTTCTGCAGATTTTGAGCCGAAGGAGACAAGCACAGTGCTACTCAGGTTTGAAATACTGAGACCTTTTCTATTTCTCACCTCCAGGTTGTGTGAATACATGCGGGCATGCCTTCATTTTGCCAAAACATCTCTGATTGAGATGTTGAATGCACCATAGTTATTTTATTTTATTCTTTTGTCTCTGGAGACAACGGGCTAACAGGACACTCAAATCTTACGGGAGTTTCTTGTCTCATTTCTAGGTCAGATGCCTCAGTGTGCATTCCCAGGACTTTATAAGATGATTTGCTGAAGGATTTCAGCAAGAAAGTTCTGGAGTGTCAACTGATATGGTTTTCAGTCTCACCTTGCTCAGTTTTTGAGTATTGTCACATACACATGCACAGTATTAGAAGAGAGTGTGTGAAGTGTTTGTTATTGAGAGAGGTGCCCTAGACCTGATGCCAGTGCCCGTGAACTGTAGCCCATAGCCAGAATTTAGCCTGGGCCTGGTGCCTGTTTTCTTTTCTTTTTTTTTTTTGAGCAAGAGTGTCGCTCTGTCACCCAGGCTGGAGTGCGATGGTGTGATCTCAGCTCACTGCAACCTCCGCCTCCCAGGTTCAAGTGATTCTCTTGCCCCAGCCTCATGAGTAGCTGGGATTACAGGCACACGCCACCACGCCAGGCTAATTATCGTATTTTTCATAGAGACGGGGTTTCACCATGTTGGTCAGGCTGGTCTTGAACCCCTGACCTCGTGTTCTGCCTCTGAAAGTGCTGGAATTACAATATTTTGTAGAACATGGAAAATTATGTATTTAAATTTTAGCATCCATAAACGTGGTTTTATTATAACATGATTCTATGGTTTGAATGCCCCTCCAAAACTCCCGTTGAAACTTAATCCCCAACGTAACTATATTGAGAGATAGGGCTTTTAAGAGGTAATTGGGTCACGGGAGCTCTGCCCACATGAGTGGATTTATCTATTCATCGATTAACGGATGAGTGGGTTAACAGATTGGTGGGTTATCATGGTGGGGAAACTGGTGACTTTGTAGGAAGAGGAAGAGAGACCTGAGCCCTCTCACCCCATGTTGTCCTGCACCCCTGCAGGACTCTGCAGAGAATCCCCGCCAGCAAGACAATCTTCACCAGATGTGGCCTCGTGGCCTGAGACTTCTCAGCCTCCATCACTGTAAGAAATAAATTCCTTTTCTTTATAAATGACCCAGTTTTAGGCATTCTGTTACAAGCAACAGAAAATGAACTAAGACGACACTCATGCCCATTCACCAGCATGTCATCCACTGCTGTCGCCTGTATTATAACGGCAGAGCTGAGCAGTTGAAGCAAAGACCAAACGGGCCAGTAAAAGCTGAAAATATTTACTATCTGGCTCTTACACAAA